TCCCTTTCTGCAAAAGTGCTTGTGACAGCCTTCCGTTTTGAAGACGCAAATCCATTTTTCTTTGACTATATCTGGATCTTATTAATAGTGATCCGTAATTGCCTCTCCACATATCTCATATCTGCCCCTTGGTAACTTGAAGATTGTCAATGTACAATTATCCTGAAACAGTAAGAGGAAGTTCCTTTAAGATACGGTTTATTTTTAGCGTGATTAAGATAACACTCAAAACACACCCATGAGCAAACCTCGTCTTGTTCAAAGTTATACAAAAAAAAAAAAAAAAAAAAAAAAAAAAAAAAAAAAGAGCCAATTCTAACTTGAAAACTTCTAGCCTTAAAAAAATTTTGAGTGAAAATTGGAATGTTTTCCACGTCACAGAGCATTTATTTAATTACGGATAAAAGTTAACAGACTAAATAGAGATATAACAGTTGTTTAGCGGCTCCTCGCGCTAGATAAACACAAGGAAATTTTTCATTTTTTTATACAGTCACTTCTTGCCCTCACGGAATCAGAACAAAATCGGAAGTCGATAGCCTCCACCTTCCCATAGTGTCTATCCTTGTCTGTCTCAGGTACGCAGGCGATGATCTGCCTATCAGGTAGTGGCCTTTGTTGGCTGCAGAACTTAGCGTTCTTACACACACGCACACACACACATTAAGAACGGTGTCACTTTCTGAAGATTTTCTTATGGATTACTAATTATCAGAAACTGCAGTTTATTTTTTATTCTTGTCAGAATTTGCATTTGTCTTAACTTTTATAGAAATAGGACAATTTTCATTTTGTTCATTTGTTTGTGTATTAGAAGCCATATTTAGTGAAATAAAAGATTCAGCCCCGCGACAGGGTGAACTGACTTTATACGCAATCTGAAGCCCCACAGTAAGCTTTCCAAAAAGCGGAAACACCCGAAACCACTGATACCAAGGACTAGTAACCAACCGACTGACACTACAGGGGACAGCTAAGAGCCTCCTGTTTTAATCTGAAGCAGAGGGCAAAGTAGTGTGTTGGGGACAGTACCCCACCCCTCAACTACCAGGATCCTCCTTTCCAGCTTTATGGGTGACAAGGCACGGCAAACGCGTAAGCGGTTTCCTGTTCATGAGAAACTGGAAAGAAAGTGATGTAACAGAATCACACATTCAGTCCCAACAACCGAAAAGGAAACCCACTAAGGTGCAAGAAACGAAAATAGAACAGAAAAGCAGAGACGAAAAAGAAAGGAAGAAAGATCACTAGGGCTCCAGGATCGCGAATCCCATTTCACCAAGAGGGTGATCTTCTGAAGGATTAGGATACTTTGGGATTGCCAGACTCACAACAAGCTCTGAGGGTGCTGTTCAGCTGTTATCATTGTTAAATTTATAAGGTATTTCTCCCGCTTTCCTAGCGTGCCTTCGTGGTGTAGTGGTTCTGCACGCTGGGCTGGTATTCCAGAGGTCCGTGGTTCGATTCTAGGCGGAGACGGTTGCTAATTTTTCATCTCTCTGGCCTCCAGAAAATACCTAATGTCTCTACAAATTGATTAAGACAAAGCACAAGAGGCTATTTCTCCAAAAGATTTAACTTTGTAGAGGACTTTAAAAGGGATTCTGGTGAGACATGGGAAAACACGAAAATTATAAACATCCAAACCAGGTCAAACTACTGGTATTCAGTGGTCCTATCCATCCAGCCATTGGTGGGTGTCAACTGCTGTTCATAGCTCGTTCACTGTGAATTTCTTATTGTATCAAATGATTCCCAGCACAACACAGGATGACTTATATTGTTCAAGCTTCTATCTCCAAGATATAAAAGGTAAAAACGTTTACTCATTGATGATTTTCTTGCCTAAAATAGGCATATCTCTGCTTTTCTTAAAGAAATGCCTTTAGAGAGTTCTACACGTCATATATGTAGAATCTCAAAATTAAGTTACACTATAAGGTATTTCTCCCGCCGTCCTTGCTTCCTAGCACGTCATATATGTAGAATCTCAAAATTAAGTTACACTATAAGGTATTTCTCCCGCCTTCCTAGCGTGCCTTCGTGGTGTAGTGTTTCTTCACGCTGGGCCGGTATTCCAGAGGTCCGCGGTTCGATTCCCGGCGAAGGCGGTTGCTAATTTTTCATTTCTCCAGCCTCCAAAAAAAATCCCAATGTCTGTCTTTACAGTGGTGCCCAAACTAAAAGGGTTGTGGATGATGACTCTCCATACCCAGGATTTGACGATTGTCCGCTAAAAACCCCAGTCGCCCTTTAAAAGGGGGGGAGTATATAAGGTATTTCTCCCGCCTTCGTGGTTCTGCACGCTGGCCCGGTATTCCAGAGGTCCGCGGTTCGATTCCCGGCTAAGGCGTTTGCTCATTTTTCATCTTGCCTGCTTCCAAACAAAATCCTAATGTCTCTACAACGCCTGCGAAAAGTGTTATCAATCATATGCTCTTTTTTTTGGGGGGGGGGGGGGGAACTATTGATCTAGAAATTTTCAGTTCTATCTATCATCGTACAGTCTTAATGTAGAGTCATTAGGATATTTTCAAGCAGGAGACGTGAGAAATAAGCACTGCTCTCACCGGGGACTCGAATCTGGACTTTTCAATGCACCGACTGTGCTAACTGTTACACCACAAAGGCATGCTGGAAGGAGGAGGGAGAAAATACAAATGGTTCATTAGGTTGTAAGATTCTGTAAGTAATCAAGAATATGTGATCGATGACTCATACATTCTTGATATTCAAGTAATGAAAAAAAAGTCTTAAACTTCAAAATTTGTGCATGGAAACTTGCTTGTGATATGTAGCAAAAATATATGCTCTATTTTGAAAATGTGAAGTTACAGTAGAGAAAAGCTTTTGTTTTAGTAAAAGCAAAATAATTATAAATTTTTACTATGCAACACATATGTCAAAGACAAGCATGATTGATATACACTGATGTGCAAAAATTAAGGACAAGATGGTTTTTTCAATATAACTTTGTACAAAAGCTTTCCAAATCAACACATTTAATACCGTAAGATCCCCAATACGTAAGGACATGAGTAATGTACAAACACTTACTAAAAGAGAAATCAGAGGGATAAAAAGAAGCTTTATTGAAAAAGTAGCATGGAGCGCAATGCAACTGAAGGCCGAAACATCCCTTTGATGGGTGTCCAGCAAGAAACATCCGGTCTTTAATAGGGGATATGATCTCCCCTGACTGCTAGGCAGGTTTCACAGCGTTTGCCCATGCTGAGAATGAGGGTGTCAATGAGTTGTTGTTGAGGCATTGCTGCCCATTCGTCTTGCAGCGCCAATCAAAGCTCCGGAATCGTTACTGGTGGTAAGATACGAGCTGCCAAGCGTCTGCCTAGAAAATCCCATACATGCTCGATGGGATTGAGATCCGGTGATCGTGCCGGCCAATCCATACGTTCAATATCCTCACTCTCTAAGAGCTGTTCGGCAGCTACTGTGCGATGACATGGTGCATTGTTGTCCATGAAAAGGAACTGCGGACCCATAGCGCCTCTAAACAGACGCACATATGGAAGAAGAATCTCGTTACAATAACGGGTCCCGTTGACTGAACCTGCATCGAAGATGTGAAGGTCTGTACGACTACCAAGCATGATGCCTCCCCAAACGAGAACACCACCACCTCCATACCTGTCCCCTTTCAATGATGTTCGAGGGATGATTGCGGCTTCCCCGCTATCTCTCCAGATGAGTATGCGATGAGAATCGCTACTCAGACTGAATCTGCTCTCATCTGTAAAGAGTACTCGTCCGCATTCATTGTCTTTCCAATTCCAGTGTTCCCGGCACCACAGAGAACACCTTCTCCGATGGGCAGGCATTAGAGGTACACACCGTACAGGGCGTCGTGCAAACAGACCACCACCGTGCAGTCTTCTGGCCATGGTAAAACGCGATATCGGTCGTCCAGTCACCTGTGTTGTGTGTCTAGCGATTTCTCCCGCTGTCTCCTGCTTGTTTCTTCTGGCCTGTAAGGCAATATACCGGTCATCTGCGGGTGTGGTCCTCGTGGACGACCACTACTAAACCCTGTAGTTTGCCCAAATTCCTCGTGTGAAATGCTGAAGCAATCCAAACTCGTCAACACGCGATTCCTCCAACTTCGATCCTCGGGTAAAAGCATTGAACCGGCAACATTCTTCGCTGAGGCAGCAACTCGCTGAAAAAACTGCTATACGGCGTGCAATCTCTTTGCCAGAAATACTGATCTTACACCGACAACATGCTGTATAATACTCAGACACTCCCCCATTACGTCTACCTGCATATCTGCGTGTGCTACCATCACACCCCCCTTACTTAATCCTGTGATTGGTCTTTCTGTCCGCTCTGCTCTTCGTTTTTTTCAACTTTGCTTTCCTTTTTTTCGCATTAATTTACACTTGCACAATCCCCTATGAATCTAAGCCTGCAGAGTATCCTATGATGGTATTGACAGTTCAAGAACACTGGCTACTTATATAAAGGCAAGAACCCCAGATGGCCAGTCATTTTCCAATGAAACAGTGCAAAAATTTAGTTTCACATATAAATTAGTAACTGAGCTATAGGAAACTTGCATTAGCCCCTTATTAAATTTATATCTAAGCTATAATAGATACAACTTATTCTTCTTTGTTTAGACTCAGAAAATGCTGCTGCTGAATCTACAATGGTTAACAATTTATATTTCAAACTATTTTTAAAAGCCATAAGGTTTAAAAAAAAATTCAATGCTTTATTTGAATTAATTAATTTAGAATTTTTCTTAAAATTTTATCATTTATAAGCAAATTTATTTACAGTATTACATTTTGCATTAAGTAAAGTGGATTAAAAATCATTAAGAAGGTAAAAATCAATGAGATTAACTGAATCTTTAATTTTTCTTATTTAATTTAATTATTTAATTTGATTTATTGTACTTCTTTCTTATTATTACACAAGATTAATTAAAAAACAAAAATCAAATTTTGAAATATTTCTTGATATATTTTGCATTTTATCACCAATCAATGAGATTAACCCTCCAAAATCAATGAGATTAACCTGAGACTGGTAATGGTAAACGTATTGAAATATTTAAAAATTGATATTTTGTGATTTATTGGTAAAAGATATTACGTTTTTCTCATTCATATACAATTATTAGTATTTTCTGTTTTTGTAAAAAATATAACAGTTCATTAGAATTGCATAAGTTGTTTATATAGAATAAAATGCAAACTCTTTGTCAAGTTTTTCATAGCTCACCACTGCATGTAATCCACAAACAGGATAGGTCTACAAATTACATTAGTAGCAAATATGTGTTCTATAACCAAACATAGGGAAGATTTTGCAATGTTGATTACAACTAAAACCATATTATTTACAGATGCTGCAATATAAATTTTGCAATCGTATGCATGGAAGACAATTCTTCCACTATCTAGTGGTGAAGCATTTGTTGGATAGGTACGTTTGTGTACTGGACATGGAAAATTGTCATGCTGTTACTGAATAGAAATTATATTTACTTGAACATTTTATATGCCATTTCACTGATAAAGGTACATGGGTCCTTTTTTTCTACAGAAACACTGTAAAAGGTATGTCAGATTTTAATACGTTATAGTTGTTATTTCTCTAAATGAAATATGATTCAGAAAAATACACATTTCCTCTCTGAAAACTGTTGTATTACCTAATAATAAATTTCTATCTTTTTTTTGGATTGATCAATATCAGAAGATGACTCAATGTTGTTCAGATGACCATGAGATCATTGACCATACACTCCGTAATCTTTTGCTTTTGGAATGTGCTTTAGACTATATTTATATGCTCCTATTGCTAATAATATCAAAACTCCAAGACTGCATTATAGCTCCTTTGATGACCATCAGCAGGGAAATTTTACTATGTTTGTGAATAGAATTGTGATACCCGGTCGATATGTGTCCTGTACCAACAGGAACACACAATGACCTTTATGGTATTATGTCAAATTTGATGAACTTTTATTTCATTTCATGTAGTAATCATTTTTTATCTGTAATATGTTACAGAATAAAACATTTTAAAACTTACAAATCATGTAATATCTGTATATTTATTAATTTCATTGTACTATAGCTCACTGTATGACTCCCTCTTGAATTTTTGTAGTAATTTAATTGATTTGATTAAAAAAACTGCACCAAATCACAAGGCAAAAATAAAATCCAAATATTGTAATCTGTTTTAGCAGAGTGAATGTACCAAGAAAACAGATAATTCACCCATTTAAATTTTTCATTCAACTCATTTAAGAAATGAAATACGCTCTTAAGTTTGTGTACGATAATTTTAATATTCAATCCTCATACCTTACCTGATTTCACAAAGTAGTTTCAATCTGAAGTATACATGACTAATCATAATTTATCAACAATTCATATAAAAGAAAATAAAAATAGCAAATTATGTATCATATTAAATACATTTAGTGCAACTTTTTGAGTGAATTTGACATCTCGTGTAATTACTCATCCGTTTCCAATTCATCAGATCTGTTTTACTTTTCGTTTCGGAACCAGACAGCAAATTTCATTTTGTGAAACCACCAAGTCATTTATCTGAACATGATCAACCATTGACTACTTTTTGAAAATAAATAAATAAATAAACTGAAAAAGCTTTCAGATTTTATATTATGCCCTGAGGTTTTTTTTTTAACATTTTGTGTGTTATCTTTATTTATTAAATATCATGTTCTTCACACTTAAACCATAAAATTCAATTCAACAGCAATATCACAAATATTTAAAAGAGCATGTCTTTCGAATTCCCAGTACACAGTCTCGCACATTGGAGATAAAAATGTTCCCTCCTCCCATACAGAGTTGCTATTGCTCACTTTGAAATCATTGAGTTTCTTAATCAAAGACTTATAAATGCGTTACAAGATATGAAATAGATAATAAAACAAATTCCAAATTAGGGCTTCCAGATGCCCATATTCTAATGGAGACATACATTATTCAAAATTTGATGGCCCTAAACACAGTTGTTTTATCACAACGTGAGAAACATACATACATTTATGCAGATTCTTCATTATTTAACTTCTTTAAATATAATACTCTAATATTTGGTGGCAACAATTGAAAAAGTGATTCACCATTTATAATGAATCAACGCAAAATGCCAAAACAAAATTAATAGCCTTTCTGGGCAAATTGCCCCTTTGAGCTAAAAAGATTATCTTCAAGAAAGCTGAAAATGAAAAATAAAAAAGCAGGAAAAAAAAAGATTGGCCCACTTTGAGAACAGCACATGACACTTTAGGAGACATTAATTTTTCCTCCCAAAGACCCATCCTTTAAGGAGTTGGGAAAAAAAAAAAAAAAAAAAAAAAAAAAAAAAAAAAAAAAAGAGGAGGAAAAATATTTAAAATAGAAAGCAGATGTCAAATTAAGCATAGCAATGCATATCATAAAGATGAGGTAAATAAAGGTACAGTGAGGACTATACATGCTCTTAATAGAAAAAGAAAATAATTATTGATAAAATATTGTAAGCAAAAGCTACAATATCATTTCATCAGAAGTACAGGCAATTATATAAAGCATCGGTTAGAGTAGACTGAAGGGTACCCCTTGTATTATTGCGAAGATGTTGTTTCATTTATTGCCAAGTTGTTGTTTCATTTATGTTGATTGCTGAGTAGTTGAATGTTCTGTACATCCGTAAATATACTCAGTCAGTAAATAAAGTCAAGGGAGTGAACAATGCCAAGTTTCTGCAATTCTCTGGTGATTTTTTAAGTGAAAATAGGTCAACGTGTTCATGGATAAAGAAAGTCAAGGCAGTGCACAATGCCTAGTTTGTGCAATTCTGTGATGTTTTTTTCCATTAACAAATGTATTTGTTATACCAATGTTTTATTATAACTCTCTTGTTCTGATCATAATTTGTAATTTTTCGTGTCGCATTTATGTAGGTCAATGTGCACAAACTCGGTATCCATGTGCCGCCAAAAATCACCAATGGGTACTCGTAAATATACTTTTACCAAAACATCACTGTGCAAGTAGTAATACTTTATTGATTATGCCAAAGCATTCAACTAGTTGATTTATACATGTATAATGGAGAGAAAATTTATGTGAAGAGGTCCTTTGCGAATGATTAGCATACTTGATATAAAATAAAATAATGGCTGATAATAGAACATCACTAATAGCACATTTCCTTAGATAACCACTCCCATAATACAAATCTATTTAAGTAAGAGGTTATTCTCTTTGGAAAGTTCGATTGCATTTTCTACAAAAAAAGCACACACTGTTTTGCATTTCCAAATTCCAAATTAATGAAGAATATACATGTTTCTCACCTCACATGAAGATGCATATTTTCTTTCATCATGACATTTTTCATAAAAATTTTTTCCATTAATTGCAAACTGGAATAAACAGAAAATATCATTAGTTTTCATGCAAGAAGAATAAAATTCCAAAATTTTCCTCATTATGAAGAATACAGCTCCCCTCACGAAGATCATATTCTTTCATTGCTCTATAATAATTCTCTGATCACAAACTTGAATAATAGATATCATGTTTTTTGCAAGGAATAAAACTTCGGCATACTTTATGAAGTATGTTTTGTGACATGCAGTTGTGAATCAGATCAAAGGTAAAATTCTTTTCATCTTACAGTTTCTAAATTCATTCATTAAAAATTTCTGTCATCATCTACACCCATACGTTATTTTTTCATAATTTCAAATTCATCAAGAAAAAAAAATCAAATACATTTTGCTCACATTAAATGACATAATAATTACAACAAACGATGAGTCAATTTCCCATGTTTCTGCACAAGTGCCGATGGAACATTGACATTTTGATACACTTAAAAAACTCGCAAAACATTAGAATAAATTTTTATTTCAGAGGCAGAAACAGAAACAATTTAAAAAATCATCACATCTGAAATTTAGTGTCATTCACTTCACAAATGATGTTAAATTATGCGAAAGCACAGTCATTTTACGATTAACTAAATTATCAACAGAAAAAATGCGTTCAAAATTCAGTATTAAAATAGTATTTTTATAATTAAACAGTTTCAGTGCTTTCGTAAGAGGAAAAAAAAACTCAGTTTTGTATCCCTGATGGTAATAGTTTTAAATCAATATGCACAAAATTTATTTCATACCACTAAAAAAATTATATGAAGTGCTAACAGAGATATTAAAAATTGAAATTGTTTTGTTCTTTTATTTATAATACGTTTAGCAGGAAATAAATGTTAATTCAAAGAACACTGCAATGGAAGTTCTCACATGTCCTATCAAACTTTTGTCAGTGATTTTAACTGAATTATCACCAGAAGAAATTTATTAATAAGCGAACACTACAACAACGAATATCTAAGATATTCTTTGACTACAACAACGTTTGCACCCTAACAAGAAATCTTCGATGTTTGTTTACATCGCACGATAAATTGTTAATCTTTGCCATAATTCACCGCGAAACATGATAAAAAGCCAAATATTGTAACCCATCCAGAAGCCAGTGACGTCACGGTAAACTTTTCCGTACACCTTTGGCGTGTGTCTGTACATAATTGTGACGGACTATAATTTTAATCAGCTACTTTTAAATATTGGATATTACGAGCAAGTTGAGACAGGTCATTAAGCCCGGAATCTTGAGCTGCTGCTGCTTTTACTGTTTTATGTGGAAACAAAAAGTGTTTTTATCTTTGTTGAGAGAATTTTTATTACAAAAGCAGGGGAACAGAAGATGGACCATAATGAATTTAGTTCACTTGATTTCTTTTAATTGGTAGAAGGAATAGTTCTCTGTAACCTCCTGGGACAAACAGACAAATTTTTCATCGCACCAAACATCTGAATTTGTTCTAATAATTGCTAGATTGTAGTTTTCCAAAATACGTCTATTATTTACGATTTGTTAATTGCATGCTATTTTTATTTAATAATTCAAATTATTTTACAAACATATTCAAATGTACTTATATTTTAATTTCCTTATCTATAATTTCAAACTAAAATAATTTTTTAGATTAGAAATTAAAATTTTTTAACAGTAGTTTTAAGTAAAAGGTTTTCCGTCTTTCTTTACCTATTTCTTTACTTCTTTTTGTCGAACTTTAACCTATAACCCCATTAATGCAGCAGTATTTGGCAACAGGTATGTAACTGATTTTGAACTCCCCTATTCCTTCCCCCTTTCTCATCGTAAGGATCTTCTGTAAACAACGACATTCCCCATTATGTTAAGCCGCTATTTAGATCTACTTATTTTGTTGCAATATCGTTAATTTAATGAAATGTATAAAAAAAAATTTGAAGTAGGTTAATTTTTCAACTAGGGAAAAAGAAACTAAATTACCGTTTTATGTACTTATAAAGCCTTAAATAAGAAACTAACTTCTGATTTAAAAATGGTGCATTGCGGTTTATTAAGTAATCAGTTTTGATAACGTATCTAATCGTTAGTTCAAGTTAGAAACATTTTCAAGTCTATAAATTCCTATTGTAAAAGTGATCTTAAATGTCTGATATTTAATTTACTTTGTTTGTACAGACTTATCTGAGAGCTGATTAATTAAGCTCATGATGATTAATTAAGCTCATGATTTGAATATTTATTGAATTAGTAAGTATCACAGTTTTTAAAATTTAACAAAGTTATAGTAACTTGTTAACGTAAATAGCGAGTCTCGCATTCATGAGATTCAATTTTAAGTAACGTGTCTTACATACCCGAAAGATGCGTAAGAACTTAAAATGTGTTTTTGCTTCTTACGTAGGCGAAGGGGAGAAAATTAAAGTGCAATCCCATAAATACACTGGGCAGTAGTGAACTAAAACGAGTGAAAGTCAGTTAACATTGGAACTCTCTTGGTTTTACGCAAGGTATGCGAAATTGTGTTTCTGAACAGAATATTTTATTGTTTATTTATTTATTGTGTATTATTTTCTTACATTTGAAGAGCTAGTATGTTATAATAGTGATATTCTTACTCCGATAGGTGATAGGTCACGTTAATAAACATTTTAATGGGTGTGAAAAAGTTACTTATAAAGTAGAACTGTTTAATGAAACAAAAAAATTTTTTTTTTCTATAATACTGACATTTAAAAGAAATTTTGTTTAGTTATTTGGTAAGTCATTTGAAATCTATACTTTAATCTTTGGTTAAGAAATATAGAAACAAATTGAAGATATTGTAATAAAAATTAATTATGTCTAATTAACTGTAGCTTTGCACTAACGATTTGCTTAAAAGCATCATAGTTTTTGTAAAATAAGCTACTTTAAAAATAAATAAATAAATAAATAAATAAATAAATAAAAATTATTGCTTTATATATTTTTTGCTGCTGTTCGCTTTTTATTGCATGTATATCTATAGTGTAATTTTGTTAGATACTTCTTTTTTTATATAACTTGCCTTAGTTTTTGGTGTAAATTTTGGATCCTGATGGTTACGATTTGTAAAAATATCTTGGGGGGGGGGCTTATTTAACGTTAAATATTATTTTCAATCCTTTTATGCATGTGACTTAAAAAGATTAAATTTTTGTTTCGATATCGCTAGACTTTTCTTCTGAATTTTTTGACCAGCTTTATTTTCTGTGTAAGGTATTAGTTGTTTTTTATTTTTTGACTTTGCACATTTTAAGGATTTCAGTTTGCCACCTGGTTTTGTTTACCATTTCGCAAATATGAAACCAGTTTAGCTAAATGTTTTATATTCAAATCTCTGATCAAAGTTATCTAAGCTGAATTTTAAGAAATATTAGTCTTTCATGAATTATTCATAGTGATTATTATTTTGTTTACTGTTTTTCCACTTAATTACCATATTTTTTTTTCCTACTCATGTTTGCAGTGGCATAGCTAGGGTGGGGCAAGGGGGGAACATCAGGCGGGGCATCCAGGAATGAAAATTAATATTATAAAATTAACTTTTTTTACACAGAAAAAGGTGCAAGATGTCCTATGGGCCCTGAAAACCATAGCTATGCCTCTATATCCAGATGTATTCCTTCAACCGTCCTTGGACTTTGGAAACCTGTTCAAGGGGAATGGGGTAAACTAGCTCTTCTGGTACTATAAAAAGTTTTGTTGTCTTGGAAATTACGGTTTAGAAAGAAGGGTTGAAATTGGGGTTATTTAATATAAAAATTTAAAAATGCAGAAATTTAAGTAAAATATATCTGTAAATACAGTGAAAATCATCTAAAAAGTGTTTGAGCAGTCTTTATATTATATTTTTATTAATAAATATATTTATTTATATATTATTATATATTAACTTTTTTTGATTTTTTTTCGCTGGCACAGACAAATTTTCGAATCCGGTCTTTAGTCTTGATTTTTTTATCTCAAATTTAAAGCCTGATATCCCTGGAAAACTGTATGGCATTTCGTAGAATTGTAGTTAGGTAGTAACTGTTCGCAATATGTTATAGAATATTCTAATGCTGATGCTGCATTTCATTATTATTTTTATTATATTCTTAGAATGAGTATATTCTGTATGTTATATCACTATATGTTTGGGGGGGGATATCGTGCTCAAGTCACCAGCTGTGCTTGCTACGCCACTGCTTCTAGAAGCCAGTACTTTTATGATTGAATGATCTTATTTTTCCCACAAAGGAATTTTTACAAAGTTTTTGCTAATATTTTTTTATATAAATAAGTAAATTAATTAATTTAAGAAAACTCTATTTATTATTGGGAAGAAAATATTTCTGGAAGTTAACTGAATGATTGGTTGTTTAAATTTGTTAAAACTTATATGAACAGATGTTGGAGATTTTAGAAAATGTCTGCAAATAAAATACAACTGTATTGAGCAAAATTCTGAAATCATTAGTTTTCTTTCAATTCAAGTTTTCAGTAGTTTTGATCTTACATTTCTAAGACCTGTCCTATCTCTGTCGTCTTCTCTCATTTCAGAATTTTTCTTTTATTTAGTCTCTTGCACCTTTGGATGTATGTTTTATGATTATTATTTCAAGTTATGAATAATAATAACAAATAGTATAAGTATAAATTAAAAAAGTGCAAATCTTTTAATTATTTGAAAAGATAAAAATGCATGTGTGTTCGCTATGGAGTTGTACATGAAAAAATTTTACTATCCTGCTCTTGCTTCAGATAATAAAGGTTGTACTGCTTTCATTTCCTCTGCATGCTAAAAAATTACTTAAAAAAGTATTCTTTATCAATAATTGTTACATTTACATATTGATATTCCATCATTTTTGATTTTGATGCATTTTATGTAGAAAAATAATTTTTTTTTATCGTGTGATTTATAATTGTATAATTTGATTGAATTGGTATTATTCTCTTTGTTCATAGCAACTTTTATCATACAGAATGAGAATAATATTTTTATGATTCTCTGAGAAAAGACTGTGTTTCACACAATGGCAGCAGCTTTTGGAGATGATAGCACTGATGATGAAATTGGTGCCAAATTACAGCTTGCTGAAAGGTTACGTATAAACAGGGGAGAAAACAGTTCTGATCGAAAGGAGCAAAATAGTAAAGATTTAAAGCAATATTGTAATTATCGTCGCAAAAAAACACATTCCCGGAACGATCGGTCAAGTTCATCTTCGAGTGCGGAAATGGCTGCAGCATCTGGAAGGTATGCTTTTTCATTTATTTTATATAGTTTTTCTTGATTTTATTTTATGATTATGATTTTTGTGATATTGTTACGAAGTTTGTATTTAGGTAGCTAATTTTAATAGGATTATGATTAAAATTGTATTTCCCTGTGCAAAGCAGGACGAGACAAATTTTGAGAAAACACTATGTTAGAAAAATAAAAATACAGGAGCATGTGCATTTAAAATTGAATAAATAGGTATCTCTTTAATTTGTATTGTTAGCTGTTACCGTAATTACATCCTCTTTTTGTTTTCCAGAAATTACAAGTATAAGAATTTACTAGAAAGATCTAGTGCGGTTGGTTAAAACCTATTTAAGGCCAAAGAAAGAGCATTTCAATTCAGTTGTTTAGTTAGTTGCTTAGTTATTGCGATTCATTTAGTTCCACGTGAACTGAGATATCTGAATTAGCTTTTCTTTAGATAATGTGGAACTACTCTCATATATGCCTTTGGTTGATGACAAATTTCTTGCCAAACATTTTTGGTGAGAAACTCCGCACCGTTATATTACTACCTAAATTTTTTGTCTACATTTCAAACTTTAAGCCTAAAATGTCTGCAAAAATGTGATTTTCTCATAAACAAAAACTGCGTTTTGAACACGTAATTTAAACTAAAAATCCGAAACAAAAACAAAAAATTTAGACAGCAAAAACGTTACATTTCTAACCAAAAATATTTCAGAAGAATCCATGTACACAGCAATATGTTTTAACTTAAAAAGAATCACAGAATTGCACAATCTACGAACTACTCACACCTAGCTTAAATAAATTAACATAACAACAATAAATTTCAAAGAATACCATGTACACAGTGTTGTGTTTAAACTTAAAAAAAAAAATCTATGAATTGCACAATCTAGGCAGCAAAGAAATCTACGAACTGTGCATACATTGCTTTAATAAATTAACATAACAATAAATTTCAAGAATACCGTGTTCACAGCATTCTGTTTCAACTTTAAAAACATCTACGAATTGCACAATCTAGGCATCGCACTAATCAAAAAAATAAACTAAAATGACTAAAATAAATTTCAAACTATTCAAAAAAAAAACAATAACAACAGAAATTCATACTAAACAATGACCATAACATTTTACAAAATAAGAACAATAAAATAAAATGCACTTACCATGAATGAATGCTTCTTCAAACAACAGAAGTACGAATTTCATGCCGCCACGTAATCACTATCGTATTTATACAGCTAGACTCATTATGCACAAAATTAATGCTATCTTTAAAAAATAAATGTTCAAAACCTTCTTTTTCTAAATCCTTGTAGGATTTCCAGCCATCCGAAAAAATAATTGGGTACTTTTCCGTTTTGCCGGCGCAAGCGATAAAGTCGCCAATAATGGTACAACGATGCCAAACTGAATATTCTCACTGGTAACCTTTTACACCTCATTTTCAAAACAAGTCGCAGCTTTTTCTTATCAGATTGATTGTTTCTTTCAATGCTGTCATATTATTACATAGAATTTTTATCAGATAGTTCAGTTTTATGTCTAAGGCCATTTTTGGTAATTAAGTCAATTGGGATGCAATCACAACGCTTACCCGAAGCCGAAAATATAGAAAAGAAAAGTCAAGGGTTCATCAATTCTAATGAGAATGCATTAGTGAAGTAAAGCACTGCAGTTTAACATAATTTCTGAGTAAGCTATTCGTACGCATTGAAATATTTCTTGCATTTAAAACTTGTGTTCCAAATTAAGATTTAACTTGAAATTAATGTAGATAATTACTGAGAGCATTAGATTTTCTAAAGTAGTTTACGTGTGATGAGATCGCTTGGTGTCACGTGATATGAACCTGCGAATTAGTAAGTTGAACCATGAAAAAGCATAGTAAATTCTTAAATTAATGTCTTTTTACAAATTTATTGTCTTTATTTATTGGCTTTTTTATAAAGTTTTAAACGATATTAAAATGTTTATGCCTTCAAAAGAGAAATTCTTAGAACTAAAATTTTTTAAATATTTTTTATGTGTATACTGTTTGTTGTCGCCAATAAAGTCTGCTTGGCGAGATTTGCGCCGGCGAAACGAAAAAGTACCAATAATTGTACCAGGCTTCTCATATCAGCTCCGCATTTCGGACACGCCAAACTCTGCTTCAGAAGTCCTCAGTTCCACAGAAATTCCAAAAATGCACTTCGATCCACATAAACACACAGTGAGCAAAAGACTCATTAACAACTCCAACATCGTACCTTTTAATACTAAATTTATTTTGCACACAATCTGAAATACACAACTGAAATTTTCCCACCATGTCTTTTATTACAACATTCCATTTCAAAACGTGCATGACACGAACCAACGAGCAAATAAAACCACTGCAGTGAAAGAGTAAGTTTCAACGTCAGAAGGGTTGCCATACAAACAACATTGTTCTCAAAACCAGCACAGAATACATATCGCCACATTTACGATCTAAGAGCGCATATAAGAGTAGTACTGATAATGCTTTGCTTTGCATTTTAACGTTTTCTGTAGTTTGAAGAATAACTACAGATTATACTGCATGATATTGTGAATACTTGTATGAATCTGAGGGAAAATTCCAGCGTTCTGTTATGTTTCTTTTGATAGGAATAAATTTTATTAACTTATTATAGGACTTGTACATTCAATCTGTTATGGACGAAACAATATAAACGTAACAATTAAAAGCAAACCAGCGTATAATGGCCAAACGTGTAAGACCACTGAATAGTGATATTCAAACCAGGTTCATATCCTGAGAATGGGGCTGACTTCATTTTCATGCTCTAAAGCAATTAACTCAAGCAAGTAGATGATCCATCACTAATTGAAAAGATACTTTTTTTAAAAAATAAATTGATTCATAGGTGAAATACGTATGTTGATACCACATGAGCATTTTTACAAATACATGCTTTTGAACCTGTAGACTACATTTGTCATTTAGTACTACTTTTGATTTTTGCTGAAATCTGCATTTCAGAGTATTTAAGTAGCTGAAAAAGGAAGAAATCAAACTAGGGAAGAATTCTTAGCATCTTCAAACATTGTTGTGCTGTGTATGTCATTTGTCATCAGTAGTTCTATAAGGTATTTCTCCCACCTTCTTAGCATGCCTTCGTGGTATAGTGGTCAGCATGCTCGACGCAAATTCGAGAGGTCTGTGTTTCGAGTCCTGGCGAGGGCATTGCTCATTTTTAATGTCTCCTGCTTCAAAATAACCTAATGACCATATAATGGCACCTGAAGTAAAATGTGGTGAATTATGATTCTTCACCCCCAAGATTTGGTGATTGGGTCCCCTAAAAACGCTAGTCGCTCTTTAAAAGGGGGGTATATAAGGTATTTCTCCCACCTTCTTAGCATGCTCGACGTGAATTTGAGAGGTCCATGGTTTGAGTCCCGGTGAGGGCATTGCTAATTTTTCATGTCTCCTGCTTCGAAATAACCTATTGACTCAATTCAGTCGTAGAAGAAAAATGATCAGGGGCCAGAAGTAAGCAAGTGAAAACACAAAAACTTAGGTGAAACAAGCGTAAAGTGCAGGAAAACCACATGGTTCAAAGACAATTATCAAATTGTCACATGTCAAATGGTCGAAATCATTTCATGTGTGAGCATGTGATGATTCATTCATAACCGTGTGATGATTTTTAACACCTCAATGGTCCAAATCATTGACAGTCACCACTTTAAATGGTTTAAAGATTCTTTGAGTTCTGTTATTTTGTTGAGTGAGTACTGGTTCGAATATGAATTTGGACGCCCCATAGAGATGAACTATTATCCGTTTATTGTAGCTTGTATACTTCTGGTTACACTGGCTCTAATATTCGACTTCACAACACTGACCACTACAACTTTACCACCATGAGAGCTGCAGAGTTTTTCAAAATGTCACGCCCGAATATTACTCAGGCTAATTTTTTTTTTTGAATGCATCGTATTGTTATACCCGAATATATATCATGAGAAGTTTATTTCGGCTTCAGTTCAACTGATGGCAGCATCTGCATTTTTTTTTGATTTTTTGACTTTGAGGCAAACATTTCATTTTTGGAATAAAAAAAAATTGACAATTTATGCACCCAAATCATCAAAATAACTTAACAGTTAAAAGATTAAGGGAAGTTCATACATCATGCAAAAACATTTATGGTAGTCTACCCATGAAAAAAATCACTCTCTAAAATAGAATCATACAATTAAGATATTTTAATTATCATTCAACAAAATTCATAAATAAATTAAATTAGATGTATACAGCATTAGATATATACAGCGACCCTTTTCTGGAATATCCTATTCCTGTCTTCCAAACAATTCCTCTCTGCGATATTCTCACAAAAATTAGTGTTCTGCTTTTGAATAAATAGTTCAATGAGGGCTAGAAATTCATCGAATTGATGAGGTGTAAGTAATTAAAAAAAAGTTTCTTTCGCTCAAGCGCATTTCTTCAATTATTTGCATCTTCTTGCTGCAGTCATCTCTCGCATATTAATATAAACCATTGCATTCTGCTTCTCTTACACAAAGCAAGAAGTAAAATAAGTTGTAATCGTACAGAAATGAAATCCATTTTAATTAAAAAATGTAATCGTTAAAAGTCAAAATACCACACAAAAGTATCACGTGTTTCCCCAAGTTTCCGATATGAAGCGCCATGTAGTGCGAGCATATGACAACTTTTAAAGCGAAAGTTGACGCGTTGGTGTAAACTGACGTTACACGGAAAAGCGTTTTTTCCGCATTGTGGCTTTTCGCCCCAATGGACCAGCGTGAATGCAGCTTTAATCTTTCGAGCCATCCTTGGTGGATTTCCTCATAGGTAATGTGGATATGAGCCAGTTCTGTAAAATATTCTTCATGAAAGCATCCCTTCCAGTAGGCTGTTAGCCCTCATTTGCTTTGCTATATTCAAATAATGTACCTGAGCTATTCTTATATGCTGTGAGAATGCACAAACAGAGAGA